GATGATTGGCGACAGCTCGATCCCGATTGAACTTTTGAACTTCTCACGATGGACCATCAATGATCAAGTGGCCCGGACATGGCAGAAAGGCAACGTCTTCTGTATCGGCGACGCCGTCCATCGACATCCTCCCATCAACGGACTCGGATCGAACACCTGCATTAGCGACGCATTCAATATCGCTTGGAAATTGGCATACGTCCTGAAAGGCATTGCGAGACCGTCTATTCTGGAAACCCTCACCCTGGAGCGGAAACCGGTTGGTGATGGGATTGTGAGACGAGCCAACGACGGAATGCTGATCCACAGAAAGCTGTGGGCATTGATGGGCTCAACCAAGGACGAACGGGCGGTCGTGTCCGGGCTGCTCCAAGCCGCAAGTGTGCAGGGGGCGTGCCTGAGGACGGAACTGCGCGGAATCATTGAGGAAACCGACGATGAGTTCAATGCCTTGGGAATACAGATGAATCAGATCTACTCGAAGTCTCCCCTCCTGCTGGTGGAGGATGGCGACAGTCCACCCGACCTCGGCGGGGTGAACTTGATGAAACGACAAGCGATCTCGACGTTTCCTGGCTTCCATTTACCGCACGTGTGGGTAGTGAAAGATGGCCAGTCGGAGCGAATGTCGACACTAGACCTGGCTGGACATGGCCAGTTTGTTCTCTTCACGGGCGTCGGCGGGGAAGGCTGGCTCCAGGCAGTAAAGGACATCTCACGGGCGGATGGGGTGCCCATGAAGGGTTACGGAGTAGGCAGAGGGATCGAATACTTGGACGCCTACTGGGACTGGGAAAAGGTCAGAGGTGTCGAGGAAGACGGGGCTGTCTTGGTTAGGCCTGACCATTTTGTCTGCTGGAGGTGCCAGCGTCTGGTCTCCAATCCTGGTGCAAAGCTGAGGGAGGTGATTCACGCTCTACTTCGTCCTGCGTGATAGATCTCACAATTCTAAGCAAGACCTGTCTCGAAAGGGACACCTAGGAATTCGAAAGGTGTATACCAGTCACATGCGTGGAGTCGAGCTCGTCGCTCCTTTCTGCTAGTTGAGTGGAAGCCTTCTTTTGCCTAAATGTATTTCTTCAGCCGTGTCCGTGTACCCGTTCAACAGCCACTGAATCTCCTCTGCAACCCGTTGAACCTTGGGCGAGAGCGGGGCGAACCCCTCCGAGCATAGATAGCTTCATGGGCAGGGGTAGGACGGCGTTCGTCCAGAAAGGGCCAGATACCGCGGTGCCCCGTGGGGTAAGCAGGTCCACCTTACTCTCGGCAGATTGCTGCAGGCTTTAGGCCGGATGTGCCGTGGCTGTTCCGGCTCATGGCATGGTGGTGAGGACTGGGGCCCTTGCAATACTAGGTGGGTGGGTGTGAAGATCGCGGTATTGCTTCCGTCTTAGTGAGATGGCTTCCCCCCCTCCCCTTGACGCAACTATACCTCCAGCAATAACCTCGACGGGACTTGACAAGGCTGACAAATTTCACGACTGAGTTTCTCAAGTTGTTAGAAGCTGTGTTGGAAGCATATACCCGGAAGATCCTCGTCCGAGACCTCTGGGTGGAACAGAAGGGAACTGAAAAAGACTTCAAGAATTCGTCTATCGCCAACACCAGCTGCAGCAGCATCAGCCACGACAAACGATGCCGATTGCCCTGGACGACGAGCGCGTCCGGCTCGTCAAGACGGCCTTTGTGACGTACTACCACCACGACGTGCACAAGGCATCCAAGTTCCTGCTCGACTTTGGATTTGAGGTCGCGGAGCAGCGGGGCGACGAAGTCATCTTCTTCAAGGGCTACGGACCCGACCCGTACTGCTACGTGGCACGGCGAGCAGGTGACGGGGGGCCCCGGTTCGGCGGCGCCGCGTACCTGGTCGAGTCGGCGGCGGAGCTCGAGAAGGCAAGCAAGATCCCCGGGGCGTCGGCGATCAGCAAGCTGGACGCACCGGGAGGAGGGAGCATCGTCACGCTGGCCGACCCCATCGGGCACCTGGTGCACCTGGTGCACGGCATCCGCGAGAAGCCCAGCGAGCCGCCGGCGGACCGGAACCTGCAGAAGCTGGTGGTCAACTACGAGGACGAGAAGCGCCGGGTGGGCAAGTTCCAGCGCTTCCAGATGGGCCCCGCGCCCGTGCACAAATGGGGTCACTACGGCGTCAGCTATCCGCCCGGCAGGTACCAGGACATGGTGGACTGGTACACGGGCCACCTGTCCCTGGCGTTCAGCGACAAGGTGACCATCGGCGGCGAGGAGGCCGTGTCATTTTTCCACATCGACCGCGGCCTCGAGTACACCGACCACCACTCCTTCTACATCAAGCCGACGCGGGGCGAGGGCGAGAAGCCCGACGTCGCGCACAGTGCCTTTGAAGTGCACGACTACGACGTGCAGCAGCTTGCGCACAATTACCTGGAATCCAAGGGCTATAAGCTCTCGTGGGGCGTGGGGAGGCATGTTCTCGGCAGCCAGATCTTTGACTATTGGTACGATGAGTCTGGGTTCGAGGTCGAGCATTACGCGGATGGAGACTTGGTGAATTGCGAGACTGAGGTGACTGTCCAAGAGAATGGGCCGCATACCATGTATGTCTGGGGCCCGCCTAGGCCCGCGGCACGAGGCTGAGGAAAGAATACTCTCCCCAAGCGCCTGCTGGCTGTGTATTGTCATTTGTTCTCTTATTGTCGGTCGTCATAACACGACTACAGTGTCCCGCAGCTATCTCTTGGTGTTAGGCTGTCTCTACATAAACGTGCAGACCCTTCTGATGGACGAAGAATGTGTTCCAGATAGTCAACTTCTTCTCTGGGTCCACGAGCCGGAACTAATGGCACAATGTTCGGTCAGCAACCTCACGACCCCCAAACATCTCTTCTTGAGAGGAGAATGGAAGATGAACGTACCTTGAAGCGCTTCAGAAGGAGCGGCACCAGCTTGTGCACTTCGAGCAGACTGATATTTTTCCCGATACACGTCCTCTTCCCACTCCCAAAGGCCATAAAACACCTCTCCATCTCTCCTTTTTCCTCCTCGTCGGCCTCCAGCCAACGCTCCGGATGATATTCCTCGACCGAGTACCGCCGTCCGTAGACTCGCTTGTCCTTGTGAATGACTGCCGGATTGCAGCCGACGATGGTGCCTTCGGGGAAGAAGTGGCCACAGAGAGTCACTCCGCCCTCAGGGACTACCCGCTCCAAGATGAGACCGACCGGCGTGTGGAGCCGCAAGGCTTCCTTGATGACAGCGCCTAGGTAGGGCAGGTTGCTTGTTTCCCGCCATTGTGGCAGCGCCGATAAGTCGGCCAAATTGAGCTCAGCCATCAGTCTGGACATCGCGGAGGGATTCAGGAGCAGAAAGTCTGTCAGTCCCTGATATCAGCACTCGCAATGTTCCCTATTTCTCAAGGAGAAGCACTCACGAAAGATTGCCCGGAGAGTGATCGCACTCGTGTCTGATCCTGCGTTGATGTTGCTGAGCGACCAGCCCAGCAACTGCGATTGCGGGATCAAGCCGTGATACTTGTCAAAGGCCGAGATGAACTTGGCCGTGAAGTCGGTCCGGTCCTTGAAATCCAACGGAGCCTTCTCGCCGTCTTCACGAAGTCGTACCCTGTCCGCCTCCTCAATCCGGGGCTTCAAGAATTGCAGGACGAACTTCGAGACTCCCAGTTTGTCCTTCGAGAAGGCGCCTCCCCAAAACCGGTTCTTGGCCAGCATGTAGTCCAGCCAAGGCATCTGCCCGACGATGGCTGTGTAGGCTCCAGATTTGTTCAACGTCTTGATGATGTTACCGACGTCGCGGCCCTGTTCGAGGAAGCCGAACCTGTTGCTGAACGTCATTTCGCCAATGACGTCGAATGCGTACCACTGGAGCCATTCGCCAAAGTCGCAAACCTTTTCGGTATCGGCGTACAGGGACGCCAGCCGCTCGACCAGCGTTCGCGAAGTGCTATCCACAAACGGCTCGTAATCCAGCAAGCTCGTCATCGCGTAGGCATGGGCGATCGGTCGCTTTGCGGTCTTGTGTTGGTCCTCGTCGGTAATCATGAAGAGGGAAGCGACGGGCTTGCCATTGACCAGAGGTTGCGCCACGCGGTAATACTCTGACTGTCGGGCTCTTTCTGTCAATCCCTTTGATCCCAGAAGCAAAAGTGTCGGCCTTTCGGGACCGCCTTACCTTCTGAAATAGCCTTGATATGCCGTAGATTTGCCTGATCTCCCTCGGGTCTCCGACACTGACACATCTGGGGCCTACCCGAACCAAGTCGCCGTACTTGTCATGCAGCACCTGCGAAACGACCTCAAACCTGCCATTGTATACAGCCAGGAAACGCCAGAGATCAGTGAAAGAGGCCACGAAAGGCCCAGGTATAGATCTCAGTCCTGGCCTGAGTCTCTGGTATATAATGAACACGGCGGCAGAGCACAGCAATATCAACCCGGCCACTGATGGGCAGATCCACCAGATTGCCATAGCCATGTCCAAGCGGGCCATGGTGGAAGAGGATTGCGACGAATACAGCCCCAGCCTGCCAACGGAGATAGTCTGTTATATTCAGGGAGGGGTGAGCCATTTCCCAGCATGACCAGAAGTAGGCGGGCTGAGTAGGCGGGCATGAGCTCACCTCCATCACTTGGAGTGCAAGCATTAACTTCAAAGTCAGCAACATTCCATCCCCACCTGCTCTCCGCTGATCGATGGGATGTGGGGGAGAAGCATCCAAGTCAGAGGAAGCGGGATTCCGGGGCTCCAATGGGTCGTGGACGGCAATTGCCTGTCCCGCGTAAATGCCGGGATCATCTCTTCAAGATTGGGAATTGGGCTGCTGCTGAGACGGCGGAAAGCTACACGAGACCAATCCAATAATTTTGTCGATACACGATCATCGTAGGCGCAAATACTTCAGTCCTTGTTCTCAACAGTTTATTCTATTGTGGATGAATGATGGAAACGGAGCACTGGCTTGTTTTCGATCAGAGGGCAGCTCCTCTTCCGTAGCCCATCAATCAACCCCCTCCGACCTCGTTCATGACTCCTCCATCCAGTTTTAATACCTCGCCATTCACATATCCACATTTCGTCAGGAAAATAACTCCCATGGCCATCTCCTCGTCGCTCCCCGCCCGTCCAGCAGGTACCTCGTGGCCTTTATCTTTGACCTTTTCAGCCGGCATATGGGCCTTATTCCGCTCGTCGGACTGTTTCATGGTCATCTCCGACGGGAAGTACCCTGGGGCAATGCTATTCACTCGGACGCCAGCCTTTGCAAACTCCTTCGACATCATTCGCGATAGGTGCGCGGTGGCTGCTTTTGCTGCATTGTACGCGAAATGTGCTTGAGAATGGCGCATCAGGCCGGACATGCTCGAGATGACGATGACGCTTGCTTCGAGATTGCGGGGTGCACGTTGAAGAAGAGGCAGAAAGGATGCCACCGAGAAGAATACGCTGATAACGTTGGTGTTGTAGGTCGCTTTCCACTCCTCGATTTGTTCTTGCCACAGGTTATCTTTCATCTGCTTGGCGTCGCTGGTGTCCGGGTATCCCTTAGGCCCGGAAACACCTGCAGCGGCAATAACAAGAGAGAAGTATTCTTCCTTGGATTCCAGCTCGGCAGTCAACTTCTCCAGCGATTCCTTGGACGTCACGTCGCATGGCCCAATTGGGATGATTTGGCCATTTAGGGATGCATTGGATGACTGTGGGTTGTGCGTGCGGGCGGCATTCTCAAGGACTTCCTTCCGCCTTCCGGTGATGTACACTTTGGCTCCTATGGCAAGATTCGGTCAGATGAGCTGGGCCGTTTTAGAATCTTCCATTGTGGCACCCTACCGTTTGCTGATAGAGCCTGGGCGGCCATGAGTCCGATGCCGGTTCCTGGCCAGAACTTCTCAGCGTCCACTTGGCAACTTTCACGTTTGCAACGTGGCATTTCTTACCTCCACCTGTGATAAGGCAGACATGGCCTTCAAGCGAGAAGAGGTTGGAGACGTGTAATTGTTCGGTCGACGCCATCTGCAATTCAGGAGGGCTTCGAGGGGTAACCTAGTGCCCAAGAGCTAGGAAGATGTCTTGACGATGACTATACGAGCTAGGGAAGCGGTACTCGATATCTAGTTTCCGTAAATCAAGCTGTGATATTGCTTGCAAGAACAAGAGAAGACTGATGGCGACGTTCGCAGACGCTGGTGACGCCTGTGACGCCTCTGATCTCAATGACGGATTGTGACGTCACTCGACCCCTGCCAAGCCACAGCCCGTCCACTGAGATCTCGCCCCTGTCGCTCTCTCAGCCTTGCGGTATGAGCCTCGCCGAGCTGACTCCAGGCATGGTTCAACCACTTATAGTGCAAAGGTGACTGCGTCAGTCACTATAGGGCAGAATGATGCTGAAGAAGAGCGCGGCCGTTGCTCAACACAGGTGTGCCCATTTGGTTCGTCGTGACAAATCGAACATCCTCGAAGCCGTGTTCCCCTGTCCCGACTGCCCATAACTTTGTGATCAGTGTGTCTCCCGGCTTGGCTGGAGAAGCGAATCGCGCTGAGAACTCCCGGAGGGCTCGCGGGTTGCTGAAGCCAGCTTGCTTGAGAATCCCGTGAGCCACGGTGTTCCAACTATACAGCCCGTGGAGAATAGCCCCTCCAAAGCCCATCTTCTGGCCCAGATCGGGCCCTGCGTGGAGGGGATTGTAGTCCCCGTTGAGCCTGTTTCCAAGAGTTGTGAGTTGTGACGCTACGAGCATACCGGAGTGGGTAGTGCTGTGTAACTAATTACCTGTACAAATATGCAGTCTCATTGCTTGTGTCAATCTCGAAGATGGCATCTGGCATCCTATCCGTGGGATGAGGATACGCTGGGGAGATTGGTCCTTTCGAAAGTCCCGATAACGAGTTAGCCACCCAGATATGAACATGGCAAACATCTAAAACTCCACGAAAGCTTACCTTTAGGCCCGCCCCAATTGCCTTGCCCGATTAGAAAGGCGCTTCCCACGGCTCGCGAATAGATCTCTCCCGTACGCTTATCCACGATACACTGTTCAGTCTCAATGACAGTCCCAGCCTTTCCCTTGTCGTATATGCCGATAACTCTACTTCGCAGCTCAAACGATTTTCCGGTACTAGAAGTAGGCAAGGATTTGAAAATGGTGAGTTTGCGCTGTCCATCGACGCCACGCTTCGAGTCAAATTTCGGCATTCCCGGAAGGGTAGGGAGCGATTGCCGGGCAAAGTAGTCGGTAATCTCTTCATCAGTGAGCTTGAAAGCTGGACATCATTTCCAATTAGACCTTTTGAGATCCTGGAACTGTTTATATCTTTGCACGTACGCAAAATGGTCGGGTATGTCGGAAATACCGCAAACTTCGGGTGAAGCTCCTACAATTGTGAACGTCAAGGACTTGTTTTGATATACAAAGCTTTCAGAGCAAGACCATACTCACATAGAGGAAATGCAATTCATCGACTGTACACCCGATACTTACTGCAAAAAGAAGGACATCACGCTTCAACCACCCAACATCCTTGGACTGGAGTTCATGAGGAATTGTAGGAGCAGACATTGGTGTTCCACTGCTTGGACTTGCTTTGCTCACGTCCATACGACTAATGTTCTTGACATAGGGAAGAAAGCCACGATATTTAAAAACTGAGTGTGTCTCAGTGGCGTCTTGAGAAAAAGCAAATATCCACCGCCCAGATGGAGCAGCCTCTGCAGGGCACCTCGGTCCGCGGTGAACGATTCGCGCCGCCTCTTATCAGGCTAGTGGACCGCGAAATACTTCGCACGACATGTCACCAGAGAGTTTCACGGTATTCCCATAAATATCTCCTACACTTACTCCACGTCTAAGTTCTTCACCCCAGTCTTCACGTATGTGACACTCCAGCCTGGCTCCCGACCCAATATCGCCCATCTTTATTTTCTAAATAGACAAGGACATCAGGTTCGCCCAGGACGGTATGTCGAGCAGTCAGGATCTTTTACTAGCTTTTGATGGCCGAGTTGCAACCATCACTATCAACAGACCTAAGAAGCTCAATGCTCTGACCGGACCTCTTTATTTCGCTCTGGGAGAGATGCTGCGGCAAATCGATGAAAAGGACGACATTGTAATCACCATCATCACTGGAACTGGCCGCTTTTTCTCAGCGTAAGGAAAGGTTTCTTGATTCTTCGATGCCTTGTGTTTGCTATTGTCGAAACGAGGCTAATGTCGTAGTGGAGCGGACGTAAGTGCGGGCGCCGCGGAGGAGGATGCCAACAGTGAGAATTCTCGGCTCGCCGCCTTGCGATCATTTGCCGCGATAACGCTGGATGTTACCCGAGCATTCTATCAGCATCGCAAAATCCTTGTCGCTGCACTCAATGGGCCGGCAGTGGGTCTCTCGGCTGGCCTCGTGGCTCTGGCTGACTTCATCTACGCTGCTCCGCATACGTACTTGCTCACCCCGTTCTCTTCTATCGGCTCTCTCGCCGAAGGCGCGTCATCTCGCACATTTGTACAACGACTCGGACTCGGCAAAGCCAATGAAGCACTCATCATGGGCAAACGTATCACGTGTGATGAGCTTGTGGCAACTGGGTTTGTCAACAGGGTCATTTCACCAGCATCCGGCAAGCAGGATGATAGTGCAGGTTTCCTCGAAAGGGTCATTGACGAGGTCAATGAGCGACTTGGTCCTCACCTTAACGATAGCAGCATTTTAGAAATTAAGGAGCTGATACGCAGAGGGGAAAGAGATATCCTGGATCATCAAAATCTCCTGGAAGTATTGGCTGGTACTGAACGTTTTGCGAAAGGGATTGTGCAAGCTAGTTTCAAGGCTCTCGCTAGTGGTGCGAGACACAAACTATGACCATGTTTCACGGAACTTTATCGACTGTCAAGTTCTGAAGACTCCCATGTCACATGTAATGCTGACTCAAGCCAGCACGAGTATAGGAGATTGCAAGAGTGCCTTGGAACCAGACACATCTAGCTTGACTGAAAGCCGCTCTTCTAGACCTTATCACCACACCCCCTACGCTGTAGTAGCTATAGATGGTAAATTCTCCCTTGTTTTGTTTGGCATAAACGCCTCGAAGGTATTAATTTGCTTTTGGTGGGGGTTCCCAACTGGCAAGTCTGCACTTTCAAGTAATAGTATCACGCTCTATGGGCCGTTCTGTATGAGAAGGTAGCAGAACCAGTCTCGGAATTCATCGATTGGACTCTTCTATTTCGGCCTTGTCAAAATTCCGATACAGTCAACGACACATGACTCGATGTGTGGCGCTCCTACCTATTTCGCACCTACCTTATAGGTGCCCTTTTGATAGGCGAGAGCCTGGTGCTCTCTAGACAGGAATAGCAAGCATTCAGAGAGTTTTCTTCCGCGTCACCCACACGATGTCAGTCAATGCCGTACCCGCAGCCGCTGCCGTACCCGCAACCGCAACCGCAGCCGGGTGGAGTTTTACCCTCTGATGAATCAACGTTCTAGTGCGGGTCTGACTTAGTCTGGGGAAAGAGGATGTCGTCAATTCTGATCTTCTCCACGAGTATTCCATAGTTGCGCCACTTGATCTCAAAAGTTACATACCGCGGGGAAATGCTCGATTGGGTCAGGCTTAGGCTGGTCGGCACCGGCAAGTCATGATGAAGAAGACCCTGCCCACGCGAGGTATGCTTTGGCATAAAGAGGCACATCGGTCGACTGAGCAATACAAAAGTCGGCGTCTTTGATATCTGTCAATAGCTTACCTTAATCGGAGGATCCCCCAGCGTGATAAGATGGCAAAAAGGCAGGCACTCGTAACGTTGATTTATTTCTTGATCTGGCGAGCCCAATCATTGCAGACAGCCACCGCGGCCCCTGCTGTGCTTTGTGAGAATTTGACGTTGCCAACTGTGCCAGGACTCCAGATTTCCAGCGTCCACGCCCTAACAGCTCGCCACTATACGAATCCCCTTGCTCCCGGCGTATCACTTGATATATGCAATGTCACTGTGAGCTACACCCACCGAGGAGAAAATGATATTACCTGGGTCAACGTCTGGCTGCCTTTGAACAATTGGAATGGACGATGGCAGGCTACTGGTGGTGGAGGTCTCGCGGCCGGACTTGGGGATTATTATCTACTCGGCGCAGCTCCTTTTGGATACGCCACAGGCACGACGGATGGTGGACTGACTTTGAACAACACCATTGACCCGCAAACCGGCCAGTGGGCGTTGGCAAAGAACGGTTCTCTCAACCAAAGTCTCGTCAAGAATTTCGCCCACAGGGCCATACATGACATGACCGTTATTGGCAAGTCATTAACCCAACAATTCTACGGCAAGGCTCCAATCTATTCCTACTACACGGGCTGCTCGACCGGCGGACGCCAGGGCTATTTCGCTGCCCAGGTATACCCTACAGACTTCGACGGCATTATGGCCAACGCTCCTGCACTGAACTCGCCCGAGATCTCGCCAGGTGACTTTTGGCCGTCGGTGGTGATGCATAACTTGGGTGCACCTCCGCAGTGCGTCTTGGATGCATACTATAATGCCACTCTCGCATACTGTGACCCTCTCGATGGCGCCACGGACGGGCTTATCTCCAACTTAGAGACCTGCGACTTCGATCCACAATCCCTTGTCGGGAAAGAGGTTGATTGTGGCGGCCAGAATGTCACCATCTCAGCAACTTTCGCAGATGTCGTCTCTCGCATCTGGGCAGGCAGCACCTCAACATTCGGCGCATCGTTGTTTCCTGGAAATCCTCGAGGCGCCCTCTTCAGCGGGCTGGCGAATACAACGACAGCCAATGGGGTCACAGTGCCAGTTCCCTTCTCAGCCGCGGAAGCCTGGATCAAGTACCTCGTCGTTCACGATCCCAATTACCCCACAAGGAACATGACGTTTGCCGACTTCGATTACGTGTTCGGACGGTCCGTCGTCGAATTCTCTGGCGTCCTGGGCACAATGTCACCCGATCTCTCACAATTTCAGAAACTCGGCGGGAAGCTGCTCACCTGGCATGGGTTGGCGGACCAGTTGATCACGCCTTACAGTACGATGTTGTACCGCTCGGCACTCTCACGCGAGATGGCTCTTACTCAGTCCCAACTGAGCGACTTTCATCGAGTCTTCTTCGCTCCGGGAGT